TCCCGCCACCCCCGTCTCCCTGGTCTGCTGGGGGAGGGGGGTGCAGCTAGTGTGCCCCCCCTCCGCAGACCAGGCTTTTCTTGTCTACCCCTGGGGTAGAGCAGCTGGGGGCTGCCGGGTTGGTCCCGCAGCGCCGCTCCGGACCAACCCGGCAGCACCGCAGCTGCTCTGCCCCCGGCGTCCCGATTCAGCCGCTGCCGGGCGTCAATTTTGTTTTGTTTTAATATCAAACTGCATGCTGTAGCCTCCAGAATGCTATCATAGAATCCATAGACATACAGGTCTGGAAGGACTGAGAGGTCATCAGATTCAGCCCCCTGCACAGTGACAGGGCCAGATACACCTCAACTGTATAATAGGCAATCTCCATTATTATCTCCTAGATCTGGAAGGGACCTTGCTAGGTCATCGAGGCCAGTCCCCTGCCTTCACAGCAGGACCAAATCCTATCCCTGATGAATTTTTGCCCCAAATCCCTAAATGGCCTCCACAAGGATTGAACTCACAACCCTGGGTTTAGTAGGCCAATACTCAAACCACTGAGCTATCCCTCCCCTGTTAGCTACTCTCCCTTGGAAGTCTATTCCAGGCCTTACTTACACTTATAATTAGAAAGTTTTTCCCTACTATCTAACCTAATTTTTCCCTTGCTGCAGATTAATCCTACTACTCCTCCAGAAACAGACTTCAGATGTTATACTTGCCTGCTCTTAGATTCTATTTTCTGGAGTTTACTGAACTTACTTACCTGAAACCAAACACTAAATTGAGGGGTGGGAAACCCACAAGTGTTCAGCTTCTTGAGTTCATAGGAATTCTCCCAAAGTTTGAACTTAGTTTTCCTATCCAATAGGAAAATTTATTTGCCACTTAAAAAAAGGCTTGGTTTCTTTAACAAAACAGATTTATTGAAATGCTGTTCATTCTGCTGTGCTGAACTCTTTAGTGTAGTCAGTTTTTTGTCCATTACATGTGCAGTAAGTGTCTGACCAGAACAGTATAGGTGTATTTACCAAATGGTCACAGAACCCTTTTTTTGTTTTTGGACTAATAGCAGCATGGTGGTCCCTCCCTTTTAACTGCTAGCATAAATAGGAAGTATATAAGTGTAGCAAAACTGATTTGAAACAGTAAAGTTCTGTGAAGCAGCAGTACTATCTGGAGTTAAAAGTAGAAGTACTATGTTCAGTTTTGCAAAGGGCAAAAGGGATAATAGCAAGAGAGACGGCAAATCTAGTATTAAAATCTACTGATCATAATTGTAAAATGTGTGTACAGTGCAATTTCCCTTTTCTTCTTTGTACATTTTTAGACTTCTCAGCTGTTTGACTAGCTGAAATGATTATCTTAAACTCTTTAGATAATGAAACACACTTGAAACAGTCGTAGTGGTTCTGAAATGCCTTTTATGTCTTGCTCTTTGAAGTTAAAGATTCTTGGGTCAAATCTTCAATCTAAATTTGGTATAGGACCTGAGCAAGGTAACAGCCCCACCCATGCTAGTTGTGCTTGAGCTAGTGAGCTAAAATAGCATTGTGGATATTGCCTTTAGACTAGCCACATGA